GAGGCAGAAGTGCAGGCAGGGAGAGGCAGTGCTGGGTGCAAGTGAGTTGGGTCCTACGAAGCCCCAGGAGAGGTTGGTGGCTCTGGAGCAAAGGGCTGAGCATCCAGCAGGATTGAACCCTTCGGGATTGTCTGTCCTGGGGAATGCAAGTGGCAGAACAAGAGCTGCCCTGGGTGCCTGCGCGGGTTCACATGGGCACAGCTCAGCTGAGTCAATCCACTTCAGAAACTAAACTGCACTTAGCCTCTGCCCAGACTCTTTTAAGTGGCCTTAATTTGATAAAGCTTTCCTGCGTTTAATGAGAAGGTGACTCAGTCGCTAAGTTTGATGTTCATTCCTACTAAAAGGCATCTGCAGGGAGCTTCAGACCCATCCCATCCCTCCCTGCTCCTGCACAGATGCACCTTTGCTCCTGCTGTGCCCCAAGGACCAGCCTCCCGTGGCTGGGCATGTCCCACAGCTCTGCCACCAACACATATGGCTCTGCCCGGCATGGGCATCGGGTGCTGCTTGAGCTCCAGCCTTCGACTTGACATTTCCAGAGGGTAGTGCCAGAGCTTGTCCATAGTCCCGCGCTTCCCCATGGCACCAGGCAAATACCACCACAGCCTCTCCCCTGCCCGCACTGCCCGGTTTATGTATCTCTAGATCCACTCCTGCAGCATGAAAGGGCAGAAATCAATGTTAATGTCCCTGACAAGTAGCTAACGTCTTAATTATCGAACTCAGCCTGATTAGTGGTGGAGTGCGCGGCTCTGGAGACGCCGTCGGCATGGAAGCGAGCAGAACCTTGGCATAACTCGGCAGGATGTTGCCGCTGTCGCCGTCAGCTCCAAGGGCGGTAGAGAAAGGCTTCTGCAGCTTACCCAAGCTGCTCACCGAGCACTCGAGCATCCCCATCCCCACCTGGCACCCATCCTGCCTCTGTCTCTGGAGCCGTTTTGGATGAGGACACCCACCACAGAAGCAATCCCATTGCCATCCCAAGGGTGGGAGGGCGCCTCTAGAAATTGCAACAAGCTGTTTTTAAGACACAGCTCGTGATGAGTGACAGCCTGGGCCACGCGTCGGCCATCGCTGGAGGGACACTGGGGCGTTCTGCTGCAGGGAATGGCAACACGGAGGGCTGCAACAGGAAGGCTTGGCCAAGAAGGAGGCTATGGTCCTGGGAAAGTTTGCCAAGAATATTTGCATTGGCACTCGTCTTCCTTCACTTTAAGGTTTTCAATAGAAGGGGGAAGAAGCAAAAAAAAAAAAAAATTAACAAGCTGGAAGTTTTCCAACTTTTGTGATGCAAAACCCTAAATCAAAAAAAAAAAAAAAGAGTAGCCAGATGCTTCTCATCAAATCTTCATTCTTTTGGATCAAGGAAAAGTGATTAGAAAGTTATTTCCAGCTCTAGTAGTAAGGTCAAGGGGGTTGCTCGTTACCAAAGGGCTTTGCTCTCCCCCAGCATCCCAGGAGCGTACTGGTGTGAGCAGGCAGAGGTGCACCCCCATAGCATCACCCCCCAGCACCCCCTCAGCAAAACCAAACACCCCCCCTCCACACATCCATGCGGACTAAGGACTCTCTGGAGCTACCGTGATTTCTGCATGTACTTATTTTGTGCAGCCCCCGATCGATATGAGCAAATAAAGGAGCCCGGCTAACGATGC